GGTGTAAGCACTGCTTAGCAACAACTAAACCATCAGTGTGTTATCAACATTATTTTCATCCTAAATCCAAAACACAGCACTATATCAGCTACTAGGAAGAAAAAATCAACTCTATCCCAGCTGAAACCAGGACAGGCACCTTCTTTTTTCCTCCTGTATTTCACTAAACTCTCCAAAGAACATTTAAGTCTATAAGAATTCCTTTCTTTGGAACAGCAGCATTTAGGGTTGGTAGGAGTATAAACAATGGACGTAAATTTTAGACGCCCAACCCAAAATAGGATAGTAATTCTGTAGCTCATTTCACTTTTTCTGAGAACACAAAGAGGCATTACAAAACTTATTTTATAAAATAGTCATTAAAGGTAGATAACTACAATAATAAAATTTATATTATTAAGGTAATAGCAGCACAATGATAACATGACACAGAACTGCCAACAGCAAGGTTACATGGCTTGTCCCAAAATGACAAAATCAGAACCCCGATCTCGCAGCGTATTTGCTGCTATGGTCAGGATAAGCCTAACTCAGCATTTGGTCACATTGTCTTTGAATTAAGATTTTCTTTAGGACTTTTCTATACAGCCAAATTATATTCTTGTTGGAGCACATGACTTAAAATAGTTACAGAAGCAACAGTGGTGGACGGAACCATGATGGTTTGGGCCCTGTACTTGGCCCAAGTAAAAGCCAGCACAGGAGACTGGGGAGGTACTTCAGCTCATGCTGGGGAACGTTACCCAGCCTAGGCTGAATAAAGCAAGGACACCTATGCCACTATATCATAAAACGACACTTGTTTTATTGTGTAATTTGTATATTCCCCCCCACCAACCTGTAAACTACCTTTAGATACTCATAACTTGAACACACTTACTTAATTCCTTTAACTTCAATAAATAATTCACTTATTAATAATTTTTCTATTTAACATTAAGAATGCAAAAGTTAGTAGGCTTTGGACCTAATGCAGCCTGGTAGTTGAACCACTGTTTCACATGTTAAATATAAAAATGTCATCCTTCACCTTAGATATATACTGCAGCTGAACAACATGCCTTATGTATTTGGATCCCTGATGTGCTTTAATATTTCCAAATACAGTATTTGGAAAGAAGAAACTTTTGGAAACAGAATTTAAAGCAGCTTGGGAAGGAGGAAAGAAAAAATTATTTCTTATTGCAGATCTCAAAGCAACAATCTTTATTTTTATTTTTTATAGTCACTAGCTGATCCACCATCTGTAAGCCAGCATAAAAACAGGTAGAGATGATATAGATCATCTGTACACTCTCAGAGAGGTATCTACATTTTAAAATAGGAAAAAAAATCCTACTTCGTGTCCCAGAAAGGGGATACCACATCTTTCACCTTACAGTATTAAGTCTCTTCTCAGATCCTCTGTTAATAGGATTCCTTTAGCCAGCAGATGGATTGTGAATACAGGCAGTTTCATCTACTAAAAGACAACATAAATCATCATTGAGAAAGGAGAGACCGCAGTAAGGTTATCACCATACAGCCTTCTCCATGAAAGGTTTGCATTAAAGCATTAGTGAAATTAATTCATCTTTCATAAGAGCTTTGAGCAGTATCTGTGATCTATGATAACAACCAATTTCTCACTATGGGAAAAAAAAAATTACTCAGGCCTGATAGACTACACAAATCTGCTTTTTTTTAAATGGCCTAACATTATCTGGAGTGTTGCTCCCAGAGGCATCATTTGAGTCTTATGCCTAGCCAAGAGGACCCATAAATCAAGACAGAAAGTTTTGTTAGTTTTATATGCAGTGGGCTGTAATTATTTTGAATTGCATTATGCCTCAATCATTGTAATTACTTTTAGATCATCCTTAAGCAGCCGTAATAAAAAGAAAAGAAATCAGTCTTAAACCATTTCTCACACAAAACGTTGTAAATGTGATATGAGAAGTCTGGCTAAAACTCACAAGAGCATGTAAATGCAATGTTTGGACAGATATGCCGCTTATGCATTCTGCTGTGTCAACTCAAATTTTCAAAACACACATTATTTTGCGGTCTTTTAATTAGCATCATTGTTACCAACACTTGTCTAGGAAGAAAACAGGTGATAACAAGATTAATTTTAGCCTTAAAAATAGAAACACGTATATGAGAACCAAAACTATGTCACTGCTGGTTTATTTGATGTTGCTGTACTCACGTGTGCTTCAGAGACTCTTTGGTCTTCAGTCCAAAATGAAAACAGTGTAGTGTAAAAATCATCACAATTATTTTCTAACTTTTCAAGTCACATGAAAAATATGCTGGCTTGGTCTATGCTAGGTTGCTCACCAAATGAGCATGGAAAGTCACAGAACCGTAAATATCAATGCTGCTGTTATCCCCATTATTGTAGTCCTGGAGAGCCCACACCCCTTTCCTCTCCCACCGCGCGAAGCTCTGAAATGAAACGGGTAAATCGTGCGGCCTGTTCTACGAGTCTTGCCACAACACTAGTACAAGGACTTGTGCTGTGTGCAGGAACAGAACTAAAGTTTCAAGGTGCTTCAGGGATTCGTTCGTATCTTAATTCCGAGTGCTTGTGGATTTTCTCTTTCCCTATTTATTCCTCCTCCAGGTAAACAGTATCCCTGACAACACCAGAACACGGTGCTTTCTCCTCATTTAAGGCAATGTAATGAAGGGGAACAGTATGAAGGCGTCAGATCCTCAAAAGGTATTTAGCTGCTTCTTGGCTTCTGGACCTAATAGTCCTGTACCTAAAACAGCGCTGCAGGGTGTTCTGAATATAGAAGCCGTTGCTCCAAATACAAACGTGGGAGCAACCGATCCCTGAGCACCCTCAAGAAACGAACACAGTCCCTGGTCTGCAAAACAGTGTGGGAAAGCCACTAGACTCAACCGTTTCTCCAAGAGACTGTGAAGAATTGTTCATGTAAGAGGCGGTAATAAACGATGCTGAACAAGTTACAAATTTGCCAGTCTCATGATGAAACAACAGCAGTGAAATAACGATGGAAATAATTCTTCCTGAGTATCAATGAACAATCCATAATTTGGCCTATTGCTGCTAAGCGTGATAACAGCACTCACACACTGCTGTTCAGTGCTCTCAGCATTACCATCAAATCATTCGGCAGCACTATTTGTTTCCTACTTACGTTGTCCATCACCCATACAGCTACAGTTTACTGCTGATGGAGGAGAAAAATAAACATCTGAGTAACCGCTTGAAGTTCCTTCAAAATGGTATAACACTTAACTTCAAAGAAGTATTTACGATGTTTATTCACAGGAGGTAGAAGCTAGTAAAATTATGGCAAAGGCAGTTTCCCTCCAGTATAGAGATATAGAATACAAAAATAAATAATTTAGCATCCAAGTCAAGAAAAAGAATAACCTACATCCCATCGACCCCGTAATTATTTATGCAATGCTCTTCCAAGCACACATGCACTATGTAAATATCTCCAAGCGTGTATATTTACAAATTCTAAATTAATTTTTAAAGTTTATTTAGTTCTTCCTTATATTAAAGTAGTAACATGCCTGTTTGATCCACAAATGTTACAGGAATTCAACAAATTTATTCACTTGGCTTGCAGTAAACACTAACCGTTAAACACCTATGTTCTAGATGTTCTTAAGAAATTAAAACCAAGCAAATTAACATAAACATCAAAGAAGAGAATTGCAGGCAAAGACTGCACTTGCATGTGCAATTGCACTTGCAGGTGCAGTGGAAGAAAACCCTCAGCTGTGCTTGTGTTTCTGGGTTCGACAAGACGTTCACCTTCAACTTCAAACATGCAGCACGCCCCAGTTCTTAAGAGAACAACAAAAAAAAGGGAGTACGAGGGCAGTGTCAGTGGAAAACATCAATATGTTTTCAAGTTAGGTGTATTCTTACACCAATAGGAAACCACCTTTTCTCTCCGTACTTGCAGGGACTGCAGTAGTACCTAGCTATACTGCACAGAAACCAGTATCGCTGCAACCATGATTACAGAGCTGCTGCCGCTGAATACAAATGGAATCCATTCAAAGTTGCGTCTCACCCTGCCAAGGAGTAAGTCTCCCTGAAACAGACTTGCAATTGGCACCGCGTGCTATTCCTTTGGGTTTAAATGCACAAACAAGTCTTTTCATCACTGTCTCCATCCTTCACAAGGATTTCCTACTATACAAAGAACTCCATTTGAATTTGGTAAATTCATGCAATGACTTAAAACATATATTATGGGTGACAACAAACCGACAAACAAACAAATAAAAAAACCAAGACTCGATTCTGACCTTATTTCCATTACTGAGAGTAGCTACTCAAGTAATCAGAGCAAATCAGAATCAAACCTCGTGTTTGGGAATGCTCCACGGGATTGTACATACCTCAGGGAAATAATCCTGTGGAAACTTCTCTTTTTCCAGCATGGGTGTGCTTTCTAAAGTGTCTGAGTAGATTTCTTTCCCAGTAACCTTTTTATACTTCTTAGCTAGGAAGAGATATAAAACAAAATTAACATGCATATCTGTAAGCAACTTACAGCACTCATCGGCACAGCAGTGGCATCTGCAAAATAGGTGGTAGGCTCTCAGAAAAAAATCGGCAAGCACTGAGCTGTTCTGGGGGAAAAAACAAAGATCACTAAACCATGTATAAACATACTTGTTCATATCAGACATCTTGAAGCCATACAGTTATGGGTACTAGCATTTTTACTATCCAGAGCACTGTAAAGTGTTGGAGCTCTAAGTATGAACCAGGTCTCTGTACAGCCTTGCCCTCAAACTTTCTGACATGGTTCTTCCAGGAGATGCCTGTTTGTGTCCTCAGCCAGCATCCAGCAATCTACGCTGGATAATTAACAGGAAAATTAAGTATTACAAAACACATTAAGGTGAAAAATGTTACTTATGAGTAGTGATTATCTGTATGTTTTGCCTAGCAACTCTTTCTTTCAGATTTTAAGTCTACCTACCTAAGCAGCAACTGACACACATCTGTAACACGTTATTAATTACAACTTTTACCCGTCAAACAAGTACAAACCATTTGTTTAGATCCTGTCAGCTTTTTGCCTTTTGCTTTAAATCAACAACACTGACAATCATCACCAACTTAGCGTTTGGCCACACTTAAATTGCCTGCTGGGCTAGCTGTGTCAGTGGGGGGCTGATTTTTGTCACTCTCAAACTGACCCAGTAATGCTGGTGGAACTCCTAATGCAAGATGAGTTGACCACAAGCTGAGCAGCGCGTTCCTTTTGTGGAACTGATCTGAGGTTGACTTGGTTTTAAAGAACAACTGCCTCTGCAAAGAAAGGTGACATCCTCAAGTCATCCACTGAAGTCATTCAAATACTACAAGGCCCTGAGACAAAACAAGGAATGTGAAAAAAAGTTCTTATATGAATGGACTGAGTGTTTTCCCTCAGGGATGCGAGAGCAGCAGAGAATACGCTGCACCAAAACCAAGTGGTTTACTGAGTGGTCTAGAACAGCAAAACTAGAAATTTCTCTTTGTTATGTCCTAAAACAGAAATGGGGACAGTCAATGAAGTTCAGAAGCAGCAATGCGAAACCTGATAAAAAGAAGAAGTCCATTTTCTACTTAAGGGGGTATTTTGCTGGGCAACTTACTGTCCCAGGCTGTCAGACTTGAGCAAGACCCTGACAAAGACTGGCTATTTGTAACCATTTAAATACCTAGAACTACAGCAGAAATCATAATTGCATGAACAGGGCCTTAGAGGGGACAGTTCATAGAATCACAGAACACCAGGCTGGAAGGGACCTCAGGGATCATCTGGTCCAACCTTTCCAGCACAGTCCAGACGAGATGGCCCAGCACCCTGTCCAGCTGAGTCTTAAATGTGTTCAGCGTAGCAGAGTCAACCCCTTCCCTGGGGAGATTATTCCAATGACTGACTGTTCTCATGGTGAAAAACTTACCTCTCGTGTCCCATCGGAACCTCCCTGGGAGTAACTTGTACCCGTGACCCCTTGTCCTCACCACGGGACTCCTTGTAAAAAGGGAGTCTCCATCTTCTTTGTAGCTCCCCTTTAAGTCCTGGTCCATGGTGATGAGATCACCTCTCAGCCTCCTTTTCTCAAGGCTGAACAGGCCCAGCTCTCTCAGCCTGTCCTCACACGGCAGGCTGCCCAGAGCCTGGATCATCTTGGTGGCCCTTCTCCGGACCCCCTCCAGCCTCCAGTTGTTAAGCTTCAAGGCCTAACCTAAAGAGACTCCTGAGGTGCAACTGCCTCTTAGCTGCCCTTCAGAGGATTTCCTCTGGGTGTCTGCCACGTTCAGCAACAGTTACTGGACCAGACAGAACAGTGGTCTGATGCAGTACACCCATCCCTGCATGCATGGGTGGAAACGACTTTCACCTCTGCCAACATCCCCACTACCTACATGCCAGCCTCCATCAATCAAGAAGGCCGATAACATACATCGCCAGGTTTCAGTTGGGTGTTCCGTAATCAGTTAAGTGACTGAAAATGATTTAAAAAATAAAAATCAGATTGCGGGGCAAAACGGCATTCTTTTTTTTCCTTATTTCCTCCTGAAATGTTCTGTGCTTATACAAGCAGCTCAGTCAACTCTGAATTACTTGTATAGTCACTTGAAAACCCTTAGAGTAAAAAAAACGGTCTTATTTCTGAATGGCCTTCACTGATACCAGGCCTTCTGCATCAGTTCTCCTGATCAGATTATTTCAAAACAAGAAAGTAAAAATCTCGCTCTGGGGATGTGCAGAAGATGAATTGGACTCACTCCATTCAAATCCCGTATCAGCTGCTCTGTGACCCTGTAGCCACCCACCTCTTTCAGTTTATCCATTGCTGGCTATCAGCACGTGAGGTTGAGATGTGAATTTAAAGCTGGAACGGGTGCTGTGTTTGTAAAAGAGACTTAGTGGTAAAGCACATCGCTTTCCAAAGTCTTTAATGAACGGTTACATCACAGACAGAAATAGCACAGACTTTTCAGCCTTAACAATCAATCTATGGATCTATACAGCTCACGAACAAGAGGTTCTGCTTCTTGATCCATTTCGTACTCGGTCTCTCTCCTGATCAGGGCAATGTATTGGCATGTCTAAAGGCGAGAACCTGACTTAATTTACCAAATTCCTCCAACACAGGAATTCAGGCACCTATCTTACAGCTACTGTCAAGCTGGAACTACCCATGTGGATTGAGTTTTGACTAGGAATGCGTAAGAGAAAAACTCCAAACCATCTCTTACCAAGAACCCTAAACTGTCCAGTTCTACTGGATATCTGGTGAAAATACCGAGCAGTACAAAAACTTGTCACGTTAAGTTGTCTAGATAAAGTATTTTATATAACCTGAGGAAGCATTTACTGTAATATAGCAATCTATCTTCAGGGAAAAAAAAAGTATCATTCTTTATGCGCCAATCACTTTGAGATCTGGCTCCCACAGGAAGACTAACAAATATCCTGATAAACTAATGTGGCATCGTTCTAAGTAGATCATGGATGGATGTGCCTCTTTCAGTAAGTTTAACAGTGTCAGCAAAAAGATCCCGATGTCATTCAGGATACAGAAAACATTTGGCAGAACCGTAAGGACCAAAGGCTTCTGGTGTGAGAACCTAAATAAAAGGTAGCACTTGGCAGAAAGGAGGCACCTTACCATCAGCTTACGTTAACATCAACGCTAAATACGAAGCAGCAAATCATTTACATGACTGCAGAGAAGCAAATGCAGGAGGAACGAAGCATGCCTTCTCACGTATCGCCAAGTAAAAATACTTCTACGCTATTTCTGACTTCACACCAGAGAAAACAAGGTTCTTTCTGTAAATCAAAGTTGTAAACTGAAACTGGCCTAATACCCCAGTCAGCAAACCCTTCTGTCGGATGATGGCCCTTTAGAACACATAGCTTGTCAATAGTTCAAATTGTAAGCAGACTTTTGGGCCTCTGGCCACTGCAAAAATACAGTCCGACACCTTCTATGCTGGAGCAAATAATATGTGAGGCTGTAGGAGAAAATGGTTCTCATTTTAAAACTCAAATATGTTTTCCTGAGAATTGAAAAACAGAGACAATCTTTTTTTTCCAAAGACTGTATTCAGTCACATCCAACTGTGCAGTGAATTTTGAAAAGACACAGTGATGTTACAGGAATATTGAATTGTATATAAACATCTATTTTTTGCATGCTTTTGAGTAGAACCAGAATTTCATAATGATTTTTGTGCAGAGAACATTTGTATCCATTTGGATTTTTCCTCTGATTTAAGAGCTTAATACACTGTGAAAATGTCAATAGTCATGAGAAAAGAGGCAAGTTTTACATTTCCCCTGAAAGATGGGAGCCTTCAGGGTCATATTTTACAAACGCTACACTGGGAGACTGATTCTGCTCTACATTAAGAGAACAGCGGGTGACTTACAATACCGATTCAGTGTAGCACCTGCTTTCCTTGGATTTTTATTATGAGTTTTTTCTTTCCAAGTGACGACTGGACCAAACACGTCTTTATGTGCATGGTTCACACCCCATCTGGCTTTGCTAAGGTTTTGCCGAGCAAAACAAAGCACTGAACATTTAAAGCTTTTATTTTCTGGAACGAGTCTTTTTTTTTTATATCGATTATTTTCCCCTACACTTTTTCCTTCCATTTTCTCACTTTTTTTTTTAATTCTTACATTTTCTTTTAAGGGCTGTACAGTAGCGAATAAGCTGTCAATCAACAATTAACAAACCCAGAAAGCTCCTCTTTTCCTAAAACAGTTGCCACTTCACTCTGTCAGATGTCGCTAGGGCAGGACACCTCTCCTCTATGACCAGCGGGAGGGAACTTTAGGTGAAATTCAGAGCGAAACTGCTAGTCCTCCAGCGCTGGTGCGATGAAGTTGTGGGCTCGGGAATTAGGTGTGCAGATGCAGTTCACCTATTACTGATACACGAAGCCATTCACATGGCAAAATGAACAAACGGTTACTAACAGTGGACCAGCAGGCTGCTCAGTCCAGGGACTGGGCTAACACCTTGGACACCCAGCTTCACGTGCAATGCCGATTTCCTCCAATATTTCCACCCCGCACACAGTTCATCTGATAATACTATCATTACTTAGCATCCGCTAAACCTGTTCTGGTTTGGGAGAAAAACTAGGTATGACCTCGTCACGGATAAGTGACCTCTCATTAGAAGTCCCTACATCACTATTGAGTCTCCCAGTACGGTCTCGCAGAAATCAAACCTGCTCTGAACTGCCGGTGATATTATAGCTAAAATTTTCCTTCAGCATTGAAACCAACGATGACAGGAGGACTTATGTTGGCTGAATCTTGAATTGCTATATATGTAGAACTACCGCTCAAATATTTCAGGGAAGGAAGACCCTGTACCCTCAATTACACGAGCAGAGAGAATCTGTCTCTACTGAGAACAAAAATAATGAATCTATATAATTAAGACAATTAGTTCACTCCATAGTTACCACCATTTCAAGTGTCTCAAATTAATGAGATGCTAGATGTAGTATTAATGTGATTCGGCTCAGTAAGCTAAATGAAGCTCAGAAGATTTTTGTATTTAATATGCAGACAGTTCTCAACTGAAATAACATAAATTTTATATAATCTTTTCTATATACACCTCAGGAAGCATTCAATAATTTTCTACGATATTTCTAATACTTAATGTACATAGCCTAGCATTACTTTTAAACTTCTGAGATTTAGCAAGACCTCCAACCTGATGGATCAATGTGGGTTAAAAACAATGACACCCTCCTACTGACCTGCACTGCTCCAAAGTAATTTAAGCCATAAATCTACCTCAGCTGCTTTGCAAAATGACCGTCGCTGTTGGACATTTAATGTCTTGGTCCTGTATCTGATCTACATGGAAGAAGCTTGTGGCCATTCAGAGTTCTTTTGAAATCATCAGGGATCTCTATGGATCCAAAGGTCCATCTGTATGGGAATGATTAATGCTCCGGTTTTAAACCTATGGCCGGTCCATTGACTTCTTCTAAGAGGTCTATAAAAGGTAAGAAAAGTAATGTCTGTCATCAATGGACTTGCATGCATTATACACAAGTCTGCATATCATGGAAAAAACTGCTAGGCACCACTATCAGGAAAGGTGACAGAAAAGCTGCCTGGATGTATAAAGCCGATTGACAATTAACAACATTTAATTCCTTTGCTTACCTTTAAAATCAAACTGGTAGATGTTTTTCAAAGATTCATGAAGAAAGTAAAAACTTCCTAGAGCCTGCAAAAAACAACAATAAAATAAGAAATTATAAAAATATCTACTTTGGCTAACTAAAAAGTATCATGCTTTCCAATTAAAAAAACAGAATAAATTAAATACTAATAAATAAAATACTAGTTTTCACATTTTCTAAGATCTATAAAAATATTCATTTCCTTTGTTGCTTCTCCGAAGTTTCATAAGCCATCATAAAGAAGATCCTTAACAGCTAACTAAACATGGTAAGGGCACAATTACCAGGCGTGCTTTTAGAAATACCCAAGAGATGGATGCAATTAGTAATACAGACAAACACCTTTCTAAACACTGAACACATCCCCACAATTCTGACAATACATCCCCGCAAGCCTGACAATTTCTGCTTCACTTTCAGAGCAAAGCAAATGCTTTTGGAGACTGCAGTACGGAAACGAGAGAAGGGCTGAGAGCTTCAATAGCTTTTGAGAGCGAGGCACAACACTTAAAATCTAACAGGAGTGCTGGGAAAAGGTGTACATGCTTGTACAGCTTTCCCCGTCCCTAAGCGTTTTGACAATAGTTATAATGACTGAACAGTACAGCATGTCCACCTCTGCCAGCCACACCTGGAGAGCTACTGCTACTCCTAGCTTCGGTGGGAAGCCTACAGGGGCAAGTATTTTCTCACAACGCACTGACCTGAAGAGAAAGAATATACAAATATCTAGCAGAGGGGCTTACATGTTTGAATGCATGTTAAGTTTCTTGACACTGGCTGAACTGATGTGTTTCTAAGTATAAGCAGAAGCAGAGTTGAGCACCCACAACAGCACATGAAAAACTTGAGTTACTATTGAAAATAAAATACTATGTGTTCATAGTTCAGATTTAGATAGGACTTACAACTCCTCCTGCTGATCTAGTCCTGAGCAACTGTTCTCTTTAGTTTTTTCAAAACAGTGACCTAATCCAACTACGGAATTCTGTTACAGTTTTAATGATTAGTCCATGAGCAAGTAAAGCATCTAAAGACAGAAGTAATCTCTCCTGCATTCAGACAGGCTTATCAACTCCCATCTCAGCAAATCGATTTTAAAAGCATACCGGAGTCTACCTATATTCAGCAAAATATTGGTACCTCTTCCGTAAGTACTTTCCTGGTTTCTGACGATTTCCAAGATCTTAATCCTTAATCTCTTAATCCTCAGATGCTAACGAAAGCATCTTTGTTCAGGATACCACCTAAGCATAGCCCTTAGTTGCGCAAGCGCTTTGGTCCCAACGTGGACAAGAGCTGAAATGCCACCTGTCTTCAGACTGACCAGAGGGCAGGGCGTGTTGTCTAGCTGGTGAGAACGGCAGCCAGCTTACTGTGGACTTTAGCACCCTTTTCTCTGCCACAGGGTTCCCAAGAGATATGAGGAAATCCACTCCAAGCTTCCCACGGCTAGTAACAATATATCCCTCGTTTTCTGGGTACCCACTCTCAGACTTCTGGGATCCGGTTTACAAAAGGCCTCAGTGAACTCAGCTGCAACTGGCACTAACGGCACTGTGCTCAAATACGCACATCGTGGCAGAGTGAAAGTAACGCTTGTTGCAATCACAGCGTCTTACGCAAGTGAAATAAAAGAAAAGAAGATCTGAAGTGCAAGAGACCGTCTAGCCCAGAGGTGGTTCTCGAACACGGCAGGTGGAATGCCCATGGTCCCACACTAGCAGCAGAGACGGCCAGCGCAGACCCTGCAGAGGCTGGTGAAGGAATGCTGCGCGGCTTCCCACGTCAGGATGAGCTGGCCATCCCTCACCCGCCCCAGTACCTGCCACCCAGACAGGACCCAGCGCATCCTACACCTGTGTGTTTTAGCTGGACTGTTTCTGAGAGACGTGAAAGGCAACATAGAAGGAGAACCCTACTATCACAGCAAGGACTGTTCCTCCACCAGAACATGCGCCAGGGTTTGCAAGTTACAAAGTTATGCCGTGCCTGATAAACAATTTTCTAACTTGCACTGAAAAAGCTCTGCAGACGAGGCTTCCACAACCTCCCGACGCAGCCTGACCTAATTTTTCCTTATCCTGAAACTCACAAAGTTTCCGTAACAGGGACAACCCTGCTTGCCTTCCTGCTCTGGTCTTTTCTTCACATCCCCCCAGCAGCGACCCCTGTTCCAGTGGACCTCCACGGACTGGAAGGCTGCCGACCCGGGGTGCTCAGGCCGGGACAGGCCCCTCCTGCCTCCGCTTATGTCACCGAAGCTTTGCCAAGATCTCACCTACACCTACTGGGAGCTTGCTGCTTGCTTCTACTTCTTCACAGTCATGTTAACACACTGTTTTCCTCCAGTTAATGAGAGGAAAATTACGTATTAGAGGAGAGTAAAGAAAAATCAAGTGAGAAAGAAAAAGGTAGTATAAACAGACTTTATAGCGGAATATGAAAAATGTATAAATATTAAATGAGAACTTGATAAGCCTTTAAATATATCTGATGCACTCAACAGAAGCTGAGGGGGAAAAAAAAGCAGCCTGCCACTAGATAAACTCTTATTCAGAAGTATAAAAGAAGCAATGCATTAAACAAAAAGGATGATTTAGTTTCATTTTGTCTTTTACACCTATAACGACAGAGACCCTCCTGGCAGAGCAGTGTTTTGGTTCAGCGACTGCTGCATTATTTATGAGACGCTACACATCCAGAGATTAAACATTTGCTGATTTGTCAAAAGCACAAACATGAGGTCCTGCCCATCTCCTTGACATATTAGTCCATCCAACAGAAAACACTGTCACGCATTTAATTGATGAGTACACTTCCCTGCGACCCAGTCAGCTTCCTTTAGGTCTTTGGTTTTCTTTTTTATAACACGGAGGAGGCAAATAAGAAAATGCAGGAGACACTCTTGCAGAGGACTCAAGGTTAACTATGTGGCAACAAGGACAGAAAAAAAATAAATCCTGATACAAGATAAAAACATTGCCACCTGATATTTAATTTCTAACTGAAGAAATTGTCATTAGCAATAGAAAACGCTGCTGTCTCAAGCTAAACATTCACTATACCCTGGCCTTTGGCTTTTAAAAACAGGAGATTATTCTTAAATAGCAGTATGTTTACAGACAGGTTTTTTTTGTAGAGAAAAGCATATTTTGTCTCTCAGACAGCTAAAACTAGATAAATGTCTTAAAATCACATGCAAGCTACAAGTAAGTCAATTGCTGTACTTGAAAATAACTTTCCTAACCTCACTTACAAAGCCCCCAATTAAAATAAATAAAGAAAAATACACGCTGTCACAACTTTAAATTTTGTGGAAAGGCGGCAAATCCGATGTTGAAAGCAGCTGCTTCTTTGAATGCACGTAGGCCCTGCTCAGACACATCATCATCAAGGAAAAACACGGGTGCAAGAAAGTTATTTTCAGAATTCTCCTTGATAAAACTAAGCTACAGGGAGGCTGATCAAAACCAGGGGCTTGGGATGGGGTTAGAACGTGGGGCTCAGCTGTAGTACCCTCGCTTCACGCAGACTCGTGAAGGTAGCGGCGCTGACCGGGTTCGTAAATGCTGCTCGGACGAGCAGGTGTCTCACGATACAGCTCTCTATCACAGAATTTCATCTTACACATAAGCATCTTATATTCTTAATGCTGATGCGTTTTATACACACACAGTTTTTATCCTACTGAAATCAGTGCGATCAGTTATGAAGTAAAGTACTTCTGGGTGGAAGGACACTACAGTTGAGCTCTTACCTGCTTATTTATTTAGAGAGCTGACCTTAGATAAAAGCTTACAACAGAAGTATTTTATCAAACTTAAATAATTTTAATCTGATATATATCTCTCTATATTACAAAAAAAGGAAAGTATAAACAGCTGGATGAGTTCTCAGTTATAAAATCTAGTTAAATATGACTACTTTATTTTACCAGAAGCTATTATTAACCTAATAGAGTACATTAAAGTCATGTTCTCTAGACTTGAGTCATTCTCGCCTCTCCTACTCTTTCTGAATTCTTCCCAGCTGGTCCACCTCTTTCTTCAATGCACAGGGCAAAATCTGACATATAGAAAGACAACACTTTGTTATATAGGAGGACTCTTTAAGAACTCAGTATAAGGATACAGCTTTATTTCAGCCCCTTATATGGTCTTCAGGAGAAAAAAAAATGAGCCTCAGCAAGCATCTGGGAAATATCATCCCAAATGCCTCAAGTCTGAAAAATTGAAAAGCAAATGAAAAAGGGATCCTGGAATGAGAAATCCTGGGCTATGTCAGTAACATGTGGCCAATTCGGCCTACCTATAACATCTAAATACTGGTTTTAAGGGAGTTTTTCTTACAATCTAGGGTAGCAGAATCATGCAGGCTGGAAGGGACCTTTGGGGTCTCCAGTCCCATCCCTGTCCGATGCAGGGCTGACAACTGGGCTGCTCAGGGCACTGCCCCGATGATTCAAAAATCCCCAGGGCTGGAGACTGCCTCCCCTCTTGAAGCCTCTGTTTCCGTGTCTGACCACCTTCAGGGTAAACTTTTTCCCCTTTATGCTCATTGGAATTCTCCTTGCCACAGTTGAGATGGAAACGTAAGGCTAACTAAAAAAAAAATATGTGGAAATAGCGACCTATCCAAATCAGGACAAATAATTTTAAAGACAGGTGAAAAGTTAAATCTAGGTGACAGGATTATGAATTCTGAAGCTTCTCTATGTAACGTCAGTAAGTAAACCAAGAAGAATCAAGATGCTCTAAAAACTGTTTTATTTAGATGCCATAATTCTATGAAAAATAGTACTGCCACTTGTGCTCAAGCTACAACTTTATTTGTGAGCATCCTGATTTGCTCGCTGCTTGACTTCTTACAGTTTTAATCTCATTTTTAAAAACTAATTTTGAAGAATAATGCAGCAGAAGTTCGGTTTGATAGTCTACATTAGTAGCACTGAGTGTCAACTAATTGTGCACAAAGAACCTCTGATAGTGATTAAGTAATGCTGTACAGTTTCGGGAACTGATACTACGAACATTAAGATAGG